GCGTTTTGGAATGATTCCCTACATGCAATCATCAGTCCATCACTGAAGAGGAGTCCCTCTGCTGCTCTCACAAACAGATCACTTGGCTCAGCTTCAGGGAAAGTCTGAGAAGACCTGCGTTATTGAGTAAATTCATGGTCTGGATAGTCAGTCAGGGATGTTTGTCAGGGAACTGTCTAGCCTGACTATTACTTTCATCAGCACTTCCTGAAGAACAGGAAAGCAGGACAAATTTTGAAGTGTTGTGATTGTAAGAGCTGGTGAACAGACCCATCTGTGGACAATGCAGTAACTATCACATCATGTGTCTAGAAATCCTGTTTACTTATAAGGGGGCAGTTATTATGATTAGATAGAAGCCAGGCAAGCTGTTTTCTTTGCTCTGACATAACATCCAAACTTATACAGCCAGATAAGTCATTCACTCTGATCTACTTAGCACAAGTTTGGTCACAGATGATGCCACACTATTGTTACCTGACAACACCTGGACATAGGCACCCCATGGGCATCTGCAGTATAGTTTTAGGGCTCTCCAGACTGGGAGAAGCTCTCACATTTGACTCTTTATTGTGCAAAGGAGGCATTTTGGCTCCTTTGAGTATCTGTCAAGTATTTCTGGAGTGGGTAATCTATGAAAGAGTGAAGGCTTAGGAGGAAGAAACATCACCTGAAGTCCAGGCAAGTAGCCTGATAGAAGTTCACACTTCTTTCCCAGATAGGCACTTTTATTAAAGCCTCAGAAATCATCTTTGCAGGTCCATGTATTAGAGAGTGACTGGAAGGAGCATAGCTGCCAGAGTCACCATGTAACCTGGCTAAATACCTGTGATGGGAGCTGATACTGCCTCCCAGCACATATTTGTTATGGATGCCCTTTTGCAGAAGGGAATGTTAGGGTAAGAGACCAGGAATCCACTATGTACTGAGAAATACTAAACAGAGAGAGTGAGTTAAGGTAGAGCTTTCTGCATCTACCAGAAATCCCAGTGCCTTCAGCAAGTGTACTGAAATTGAGATATTCAGCCTTAGGCACATCTCTGACTCTGCTGCAATGAAGATGTTGTGTAAGCAAATATGCATTTCTGCCCCTGGAGAATTTAGGATTTAACTGGTGCCATCACCATAGTAAAGACCCCTGGGGCAGTACTCAGGCCAAATGCCATTACCTTCCATTGATACACAACTGTAACATAGGACAGGCTTAGGAATTTCTTGTAACTTAGGTGCATGAGGTTACCATGGAAACCCTTGTTCAGATAATTTTTTGCTGGAATGTCCGCTTTACAAACAGTAACTTACATCTTTGAGACTATCTATGAGAAGCATCTGGAAAGTCATAAGATGATGTAGGAGCATTAATTTTACAACCTGGCACTAACTCCATCACTTAGTGACATGAAAACAGCTTTTCCAGCCACCCCTACATGTTTCTATTCAGCACCACTCCTAAGGTCTGATTAGGGTGACCAGATAGCAAGTGTGAAAAATCAGGACAGGGGGTGGGGCGGCGGGGTAATAGGCCTCTATATAAGAAAAAGCTCCAAATATTGGGACTGTCCCTATAAAATCGGGACATCTGGTCACTCTAGGCCTGTTACTGTTGGCTTTCTATAGTTTCCTATCAATGGCCCAGGAAGGTTATATCTCTCTAAGCCTATTTAACCCTTCGCATAGAATCACAACTGAAATACACTTTTAACCTATGTCAGGTCAGATAGCTGAAGGTTCAGCCTTTCCTGGATCTGAACACAGGGTTGTACCACACTCTGTCTGCTATAACTCTGCTTCGTAGGCACATTTGAAAATTCCAATGTGGAGACAATCTAAGTTCGGGTTCTCCACGAGCTGTTGGTGCATTTTTCATGATGCTTCAACACAAGCTTATGGACGATCGAAGGCTTCCCTACATGTTGGCCTGGAGTCCATCTTTTCCTCTAATGAAGAAGAGGTTCCTCACCAATAATTATCCAGCCCATTCCAAGCACTCTGTGGACAATTAAGGACTGGCGTCAGGAAGCTTGGAAGCATGAGAAGTTTCAACCATCGTGCATTGGAGAGCTGCATGCAGAACTCTGAGGCTGAAGCCAGGAGCAGCCTTCGATGAAACTACCCAAGCACTAATGGGAGATCACCCAGAAAGGAAGGGTATGCAGGAGCAGAGGAAATTGTACTGTGATAGAAAGCCTTACTAGGAGAGGAGGGGACAGGCTGCATTACCTACCTTGATTCAGTTTGCGTGTTCCCACTGCAGTCCTGTTGTAGGAGTCCCTGGGGAATGGGGTCTGGAGGAAAAAGGTCACTATGAGGTCTTTTATGTTCACACCAGCGCTTTTGTCGGTGAAAGTTTTGATGGTCGGGGTGTGTGTTTTTTTCACTATGTACTGAGAAATACTAAACCGAGAGAGTGAGTTAAGGTAGACAAAAGTGCCAGTGTAGATGTAGCCTAAGTAAAAGTACCTCAGTCAGCATACGTATCTAAAACAGGGGCTTCCTGATTTACAAAAACTGATCCCCTGTAGTCTCTATGTAGAGAAAACTCCCATTGACACTTTTGTCTATATTGGGACTTTTGGCCTGGGCCATGAATGTTTGCATCAAGCTATGTTATATTATTGAACTAAGTGAGAATGTGCTGTGCAACTCAGACAAATTGTGGATGGTCTTTCTGCTAGCTTCAGCTACAGTATTGCAAAAGGGATCTGACTTTTTTTTTTATAATGAACACTCAGCACATTATAAGGCTCATTGTCCATACTTTGAACATGAGCCACAATCCTCCCATTTTAAAGGATATTCTAGTTAAAAAGCAGAAAATGGGGACTTTGTTAGAGAATTTATTTCAGTTTAAAAAAGAATAACAAAGAGATATTCATATGGGTTTTCTATTTCATGCCTGAAAGTCTTAGCAATGAGCAAAATTCTCACTGTGTATTCTTTCCAGCTGAACTACAGTTAGACAGCTAAATCGGTAATGCAGTCTAACATGGTCATATTAACCTAGTGAAGCAGAAAAGACCATCTGCATCACCATGAATATGACTAAAAGAGAGCACGCCAGCAAAAAGCTTTTAACAATATCTAATGCAAGGAAATCTTATGAATGGTATTTTAAAGGAGTACAATGTAATTGATGAAAAAAGTATTATAGTAATTGTTTGACGTTCAATGTAATAAGCCTGCAAAAATGATTTATAAACTGCTTTGTAACTCAATTTCATATGCATTAAAAAACCATATAAAATGATTTTATGTACTTCACTAATATTTAACTGTGGGCAATTTACTCAAGTATTCATAATTTGTTAGGGAAAATATATAAGAAAGCTTTCAAAACAGCTCCCAAGATGTACTGTTATTGAATCCTGATTGCATAGATTGAAAATTGGCATCTCCAGCAGCTGTCCACATCACTTTTTTCTCTTGATTTATGTAATGGAGATTTTTGTGTGTACAGTACACTGGATATGAATGGAGGTTTCCCATGGAGCATAGTAGGTAAATCTCACATACATTTATTTTGTATTAAAAATCAGAAGTTAAATACTGACTGTATAGTACTTTAGTTTTCAAAATTAAATAGGCTAAGCTGTGCTATCATTTGCTGTGCATTAGCTATTGTGCATATGCTTCCCTGAAAGACATACTATATCAAAACATTTCAGTATTCTGTCTTTTGATGAGTCAAAGCATGAGCAGATTAATCTCAGTGCTATAGATTAATAAAAATTAACTATCAACAAACACTGCTAATCAGAACAGACTGAAAACAACCAAAAACCAATCCCTAACCCAAATGGAGTTTTTACCCCCAAAAGGGAGAAGTATCAGAGATTCCATGACATCCACTAGGAACTTCACTATTGCTATTGATTTAATTGAGGAGGTGCTCAAATTCTACGGTGACGGGTGGCAATATAAAATCCTAAGAGAGAAATATAGATAAATATTAATCACAGTGCTTATTCAATGAAATGTGACATTTTTCATCACTTTAATTATTTGATGATGGTTTTTACATTATTCAACTAGCTTTTATGGTAATTTCTGTTACTGTATTCTCTGTATGTCAAAGGCATTAGAGCTTCCATTTGTTAGTTGGATTACATTATACTTGAAGGATTTGCTGTTGTTTGTTTGGGTTTTTTTGCAATTCCCATCCCCACTCCTTGCTCACATTTTCTTTAATTATTCCATTTTGTGTACTTCCACTGCTACTTGTATTTCTTATTGTGGTGCATCATCATCCATTCATCATCACACAGCCCACCTTGAGATGCAATATGTTATGCTTAGTTATGTACATCCGTGCAAATGAACTGAAGGTATTTATGTTGAATGGGTGTAACTGAGGGTAAAATTTGGCTCTTTTCCTTTCTATTTGTAAATGTCTAGAGCAAAAATACACAATTTAAATGTACAAACATGAAATATGTTTGTGATGGACTGGGATCATGGTAAAATTGAAACTCAACTTTAGTTTTCCTGTTTGGAAAATTAGGATGTGTAAGTTTCCAATTTAAGTTATAGAGTAAATAAATGGATTTCAGTGAAATAGCAAAGGTACATTTTTAAGTATATGAAATTTATCTGACAATAAAAAACATAAATATGTATTTTAAGGACATGGTTGTGACAATTACATGTTATATTATGACTTTCATGAATTCATAGATTTTTAAAGCCAAAAGGAACCATTAGGTAAATTTAGTCTGACCCCTTGTAAAACAAAGGCTATCATATACCTCCCTTGTACTGAGCCCAAAAGCTTGTGTTCAACTGAGGCATAAACCTGTCTAAAGATAACTAAAGCAATATTACTTGTATATAATATTTCTTAGTTGTGCATTCTGTTGCTAAACAGCACACACTATTAGATTTGTGTTAACAGATTACTTATGACTGGTGCTTCTATACACTATTCTGGCATTGTGAAAGAAAGATTTTATCACAAGTAACTAATTTTAGTAATTAATCTTTCTTATTTAATTTATATCTAGGCAAACTTTTTGGATTCAAGTTACCTGGACTGAGACTCTTAACATACAGAAAGCAGTCCTTACCACAGGAAGACCCTGATGCAGTTGTAGTAGATTCATCTAAGCACAGTGATGACTCAGTGGCTATGAAGCGCTTTAAATCCCCCACAAAAGAAAGCTGTAGCCCTTCTGAAGTGGATGACACAAAAGCACTGATACAGCCCAGCAAATGTTCTCCTTTGGTTAATATATCAGGACCTCTTGACCATTCTTCACCTAAACGGCAATGGGACCAACTTTACCCAGACACGCTGCAGACAAGTAAACCACTAACTCATTCCAGATCAAAGGAAAGCATTTGTAGTATAAGGAGAGCATCTTCAGTACATGATATAGAAGGATTTAACGTCCATCCTAAAAACGTTTTTAGGGATCGTCATGCAAGTGAAGGTAGGGTTGAAAATTAATAAATATTCTGTGATATATCTGAAGAGGGATTGTTGCATTGTTTTTAATTATCATTATTTCTTAAAACATAAGAGATTTTACAAATGTGATTAAAAATGATACTAAGAAAACAGTAAGGGTTCAGTCTTCTCACCCATATGTACGTTGAGTTAGTACCTTTCTCATGGGGTGGTAGCTTATATCTTAGTTCTTAATGGAAGTATGGCAAAATCAGAGTCAGTGGTTGCAAAACTGCTGTAAACATTTACAAGCCAGGAAATGACTAAGTTAAAATTGCATGTGTAACCTTAATTCTGCCCCTTTTGGTCACATGCATTACAATATAGCCTTTAATTATATGAAATGCTATTTCTCAGATAATGCAGTATTATATCATGCAATTTTTCTTACAACCCTTGATACGTGTATAGTATTCTCATTGTCATAATAGTCCAGTGTTGGTGGCGGTGGTTTACTGACACTGGTACAAGTCAGCAATAACTCCATTGAAATCTATGGAGTTACACCAGTGTAAAGCTGGAGTAAATGAGAAATGAATCAGGACCTTTAACTTTTTATACTATACACGTTCTCTTTCAACCAGAAGAATTTTCCATGGGCTTTTCCTACTGTTCTCCTGAGCTAGTCACTCCTAATCACTCAAAGAGTTTCTGGGGAATGGGCTCTATGGTTTTCAGTTCCAGGAGAGAGGAAGCTTGGGAGATCTGGAGCCAGAAGATCTTGGAGAAACAGAAGTTTGGGGGCCCTGGGAGCTAGGGAAAATAGAAAATGTGTTTGCATTGAAAACACTAAGACCCATGCATAAAGTTTTCAATGACACTGACAGTCTTATACATTGGTGTATGTAGTTTTCAATTCCAACTACTAACTTATCTGGAAACTTTTATACACTCAGCCCAAGAAGTTGTGAATATCCTGGACAATGTTGTGTGCAGGTGCATAAAACTTATCATGAAAATGCATTTTCAATTTTAAAGACTTCCAACTAGTCTCCTTCTCCTTAACCCCACACCTCTGCAACCTCAAGCTTCTCTGGCTCTTTTTCTTCCTCTTCTGTGAATCCTAGCAGGTCTGCAGGAAGGAAACTCTGCTTCTGTGAACCTCCTGAGAAATCAAACCTCTGAACCATGCACTGGGGTTAACAATAAGATTAACAAAATGTTGACATTATTCCTTCTAATTACTCCTCCTGCATTAAAGTCAAACAGCACTTGCCATGAATCCACAGCTATTTATATATAAATAGAACACAAGGCCCAGATCCACAAAGGTACCCTCAAGCCCTTTCACCCCCCTCCAGGGAAGAGCTGAGAAAGAAAAACAAAGGAAATCAGCTGTTGCCACCAGCTAATTAAACAACATATGCACAAACCTCTTAGGACACCAAAAATCCAATCCTGTTCTTAAAAAAGGTAAATTTTATTAAAAACAAAAAGAAAGAAAATACACCTGGAATTTAGGATTTTGCTAGATTTAAAAAACCCACTTACAAAAATAAAACATCAAGAATAACCTTCTTGAGGTCCAGCTTAAAGATTACAATCAAAACGAAAGCATTTGGGGTTAGCACAGAGGTGTCCACAAGCCAATAAGAAATAAAAGAAATAACCCTAATCGCATCTTCCTAGACCTTCCCTGACTTACTTACATATCTGGGGTTTCAGATAAGCAATCTCTAGGTATAATCTGATGATTTTTCATACCTGGCTTAACGCTTCCTATATCATAGTTCAGCCCGGTTCCTGCTCTGCATCTCCTCTCTCCGGAGAACAATAACAAAACAGACAAAGGGAAAGTTTTTTCTCAATTTTAAAAAGCTCTAGCCCTCCAATTGGCTCTTTTGGTCAGGTGCCCACTCCCTTCTTTTTACCTATGGGCTTTTTTAACCCTTTACAGGTAAAGCAAGTAGAGAACAGCTACAAGAGAGATTTTATAACTAACTGGCTGGCTGGGTGCCCATAAAAGGAAGCTACGCCCCCCCACCCTTCATTTATCACAGGTGCCTAGTCTCATATACAAAAAATAGGGAGAAATAGGTGCTGTGCACTACAATTTACAAAGCCTAGGCAGGGAGTCACCTAAGCTAGCCAATGGGAGATGCCAACCAGAGGAATGTATGCTAAGCCCCACCCCCTCTCTCAGAGTTTGGCGCCTCAGTCTGGACTGCCAGGAGGCACCTAGCTCTGATTACTAGCCATGAGGAAATACAGGCATTTGGCTGCCTAAGTTGCATGTGGGGACCAAAATAAAGCAGAAGGAGGTGGCTGTCCTCCCTTATAACTTTCAGCCTAGTGAATAGGATACTCACCCAGGAAACCTCTAGTTCAGGGGTAGGCAACCTATGGTACGTGTGCCGAAGGCAGCACGCAAGCTGATTTTCAGTGGCACTCACACTGCCCGGGTCCTGGCCACCGGTCCGGAGGGCTCTGCATTTTAATTTAATTTTAAATGAAAGTTCTTAAACATTTTTAAAACCTTATTTATTTTACATACAACAATAGTTTAGTTATATATTATAGACTTATAGAAAGAGACCTTCTAAAAACATTAAAATGGATTACTGGCACGCGAAACCTTAAATTAGAGTGAATAAATGAAGACTCGGCACACCACTTCTGAAAGGTTGCCGACCCCTGCTCTAGTTCAAGTCCCCCCACCTACAGAGGGAGAGAGAGAATTTGAATAGGAATCTGCCACCTCTCAGATGAGTACTCTAACCACTGGGCTATGAGATATTTGATGTAGGGCTCCCTCAGTCTCTGCTGTTGAAGTTGTTCCACAATAATTGAATAAATATTCATTGGGTCAGTGAAAGAGTTAGAATGAGTCTATAGCCTAGTGTTAAGGGCACTCTCTCGGGCAGTAGCAAATCTCTTTTCAAATCCCTTGTCATCATTAGGCGGAGGGGAAACTTGAACTGGGGGGGGCGTCTCCCACATTGTGGGTGAGTACTTTATCCACCAGGCTTAAGACTACAAAGGAGGTCTCCCTGCTGCTGTTTGGTATGAACTTGCCTGAGAAGCCCAATTCAATAGGCTTCTGAGTATGCCTGTGGGAAGCCCAATTCAATAGGCTTCTGAGTATGTCTGTGGGATCAGGCTCTTGCATGGAATTAGGTGGCGATAACACCTATCTTCCCTGGTTTGTGAATCACTCAGGGGCTTAGACAGGAGACAGGCCCTCCTAGAGTGAGGCTGCAGTGCAGTGTCAAAAACTTAGGTGCCTACAGGTTAGGCGGCAGCCAATTGGGAATTTTATAGATAGCAGTGGTACCTAAAAATGGGACTCAGGTGCCTAAATACCATCGTGGATCGCACCCTAAGAACCTGAGGTTAAACCAACAGTCTTTCCAAACAGAGAGTGTCCATTGGGAGTTTTATGTAGGAGAAGACTTCAGTCTGAGGTTCTAACCCAATAAGTGGCAAGTAATTATACGATTAAGGAGCAAATTCTGGTCTTATTCTGACCAGTATAATTCCAGATCAATTCCATCTACTTCAGTGGAGAAAAGAAGTAAAGAAATTTCAGAAATTCATTATTTCTTACAACATTTTAAAAAATACTTTATTAAATTTATTGATTTCAGTTTGCTGAAATGTTCATGTTAACCTTCCTTTTCCATTTTTGTTTCTCAAGGACTTACACTGAGCTTTGTGTTTGAAAGAACCTGAAAATTTAATTTAACTCACCCCAAACCAAAACATCTTGCTGGGTTTCAGGTTACAATGCAAGCCGAGGCACAAAGATCAGTTCACAATCTGGAGCCAAACAACTCCAAAATTATGAATTTTAATTTTGGTTTGGCCCATTATGGAAATGTCAATCTGGATCTTAAATTCCCCATAAGTTAGACAGGTTTTGATTTGGACCCCCAAAAATATTTTGGTTGTTACTTTCTATTTTCAGAGCTTTGGCTGATTAAAATAATGCTCAGCTGGTATTAATAATATGGTGTAAATATGTTAAATCAAGTTTAATGATACATTTTCTTTGGCTGTGAATGATAAAAAGTTCTTGCAAAAATATTGATATAAATTAGTCCTTGACATTCTGTGGAGGAGCTAGATTTCACAGAATAACTACTTTACACATTTAAAATACAAAGCAAAAGAAATCTTAGTAACCTACATGAGACATTATACAGTATATATATTATGTGCTATGGATGTTGTACCTGATCACAGCTGCAAACCATGAGCCTGATTCTCCATTGTCTTGCACATTTATATCCAGGCCAAGTGCAAAATGGATATAAAACTGACCTCTTTTATGAAGAACTATAAGATCTACTAATGAAAAGTGCTATAGAAGAGTTATGTATTATTGTTACCATCATTCTGATTGCACTTGGCATAGATGTAAATGATGATATAAGGCGCAAGTGCAACAGCTGCCCTCTTGGCCAGCACACCAGGACCTCCAGAGATAAATGCATTATCTGCTCCAGCTTGAGCTAAAAAGAGCCCTGTAGGTAGGGGTTCTAACAACTCATATCCTTTGTGAATTGGCACCGAGGGGGACCTGTAACACACTCACCAGTGGGTTACACAAGGCCGTGGAGAATCAGGTCCTGTATCTTTATACAGTACATGTGGATGTTAAATATGCTGTAGAACAGTTCCAACAGCAGGATGAGTCTCAAGATTGTAGGGAGCAATAGCAACCATCCCTGGTGCCATCTATTGGGAAACTTATTAGAAAATAGCAACTTATGCGGTAAGGATTTGTTAAATTTTAACCAATGAGTCAAAATCCTACTCACCTTATTCACACAAATAGGCAAGCAGGATTTGATCCAACAAAATTTTTTCACGGCACTCAATCCAGATGTTTTAGAAGGCATGTACTATAGCTGGAGCATATAAAATCCTAAATAAAGGTAATTGCAATCATACAAGGACAAATTCTGTGGTCCTAATCAAGCAAAACATCTGGCCCAAGGGAGGCACGTAGCATAGGCCAATACATTTCTTTTCACTATTCTATGTGTTTCTAGATCCTTAATAATTAGGAATTTTATGCAGAAGTCCTTATTGAAATTGAAATGTAGCCTTCAGATTTAAAACATTTTTACATTTCCTCAATCTGAAAAAATATTAATGGAGCCTGTTTAAGAGGATTCTAACAGAACAAGAATAAGGTAATTTAGTTTGCTGGTAACTGCATTAATTCAGCTGGATTCAAATTTGCTTACCATAGAAGGCAAGGGTCATTGAGAGTATCAGTTATTTCATGTGGTACAGCTACCTATCAATATGTATGTCAAAAATATTGAAGCTGCAGTTGTCAGCTTGTTTTAAAATGCAGTTCTGTGCTGAAAAGTATGACTCAGTAAAAATGGCAGTGTGACTTTCCAAATTCAGTTGTGTGTGTTTCATTGGTTTCCATGTCAAATTTGCTCTGTTTGAAAGTATGAAAGTAAAAAGCCAGGGAGAGGCTATATTATCTACCTGCCCTATGCTCCAAACGCAAGATGGGTTTTTTACACTTCAAACACCAGCACCAGTATTATAACTTCTGGGGGCAGTTTAGGCCTTCATCTACACCTGGGCAACCTTAATGGCTTCAGATTATGCCCTCCGTAACACCTGTGCAATGTACCGAAGGCTAAAGAGGTTTTGAATAGGTGTTGCTGAGATCCTAATTTAGCCTGCAGAATCTGTATTACTGTTAATGAGGCATGAGACAGAAAGAAAAATGGGCCTAGTCCTTGGGTATGGCACAGCTAAGGAGAGATGTATACTGCCTTTGTGCTCCCTAAGTCATCCCAGTTCCCAACAGCCCACTAGGAGGCAGGTGTGCCGTCTGTATCCAGGGGACAAAAGCAGGTTGTGCAGAGCCAACTCCTTTCCAGGTGCCTGCCATGGCAGTTTCCCACCCCCGTTGAGCTGATCCAAAGCCCAAGGAAGTCAGTAGAAATATTTCCATTCACTTTAATGGATTTGGATTGGGTCCTATGGGCCACATTTTAAAAAATATTTATAGGCACCTAAAGATGTACATGGGCACCTAGACCCAGATCTATGAAGGGATTTGGGCATTGTGATGCTGAGCATCACAGTGCTTAGCTTTTAGGTATCTAGAAAATCACAAGAACAACAGTGTAATGCACAAGGCTGAGTTAGGCGCCTAGGCTCCTAGTGGGATTTTCAGAACCACCTAGCTGACAAACTCCCATTGAAATCAATGGGAGTTAAGTTGGGATTCACAAGGGGTACTTAGGTGCTATAACACTCTGCACCCCTGAGGAAGGTGCCAAGCTCCTGTACAATGCAAGGGGAGAATGAGGTGCCTAAGAATAGGATTCACAAAAGCCCAAAATGCAGATCAGAGAACCACCCAAACTAGCCACAAGGAAATGCTGAGAAGGGGGATGTGGTCTAAACCCCACCACTCAAAGTTACTTAAGTGTCTAAATGTGGGCCAGAGGGAGGCCCATGTCTCCATTTGGGGTTCAAAGTCTTGGACCCTCTCCTGGAGTTAGGCATCTAAGCCAGGTCAGCCCTTTCTCAAGAAAAGAGGAGGAGGAGGTGCTATTGCCCTCTTGCACAAAGCCCAGTGATTAGAGCAATCACCCAGGACATGGGAAACCCAAGTTCAATTCCCCTTCTGCCTGATTTGGAGCAAGGACTTGGATTTGGGTTTCCCACCTTTCAGGAGCATTCCCTAACCATTGGGCTATAGGGTAGGTCTCTCTCTCCTGTTGAAGCTGTTCCAATGTGTATAAATAATTAAATATTCATTGGAGCAGGGGGCACTGGAACCTGAATCTCTCACATCCCACGTGAATGTCCTAACCAGTGGGCTAGAAGTTATAAAGGGGTGGGCGATGGTGGGGGAGGGGGAAGCAGGGAAGAAGAGAAGCACAAGCACAACCACCACCTCTGGCTGTTTTATGTGGATTTAGGCATGCCTGAGGCATACCTACTGTATCCGGACCAAGAGGCAATTAGTGAATCCTGCTGGGGCTTAGGCATGAATGAGATGCCTAGACATTTGGTGCCGTCAGGACTGAGACAGCTGTTAGTCTGTCCAGCTGCCAAAATGTAGGTGCCTTGGGAACTTTAATGGTGGAAACGTGGGTGTCTAGAGATTTTAGGCACCTGCAGGTTTAGACAGCCGCTGAGCAGGGATTTTGTGAATGTTGGTGGTGCCTAAATGTTGGATTTAGGAGCCAAAAGAGTTAGTTGGATGCCTATGTCCCCCTTGTGAATCCCACCCTATGTGCCTATCTGCATCTGTAGGTGCCTAAATCAACCTTTGCAAACGTTTGCAAACCTAGCCTTATGGTGCTTATTTAGTTAAAATTTACCATTTTGCCACTTCATGAAAGGATAGTTTTTTTCTTCAAAGTGCAGTGTTGGAGGATCAATCTCAAAATCAGCATACTGAGGGGAAAATGTATTGGAATTTTGCTACTGAGCTAAGGCATATGGTGGAGATTTTTCACTGTTGTAAATTGTCATAGGTCCATTATGGAGTTATGATAGTTTACAACAGCGGAGGATCTACCACATGAGTTTTAAAAGTTGTTGAACATAATCGATTATCAAAATCATTTCATCTTAATTGGAAGTCAAATTGATGGAAAAATATAGTAATTCCAGTCAAATATATATTTTAACCAATATATTGTGCATTCTCTGATGTAGATTTTAGTTTTCTTCTTTTCTCTTCTCTTCTTTATTCTTATTATGCTGAAAACCAGACAATGGTCGCAATGTCAAAGGTAACGTATGAGTATAAAAGGTACCACCCAGTTCTTCAGCTGCCACACTCCTTGGCATGTTAACTTGCCTGCTGTATGAAATGTACAAATGCAACATTCTCATGCTGACCTCTGTAGGGCCAGGTGCATTACTGAAATGATCTTTGTTTTAGTTTGTTGGAGACATAATTAGTCCCTCAGCTATAGCCACTACATTAGCTACCACTCCTTGGAAGAAGTGAAGGAATGGTTAAATAATAATTATGCTTGTTCTTCTTAAATGTTTGTTAACAAAAAGAGAGAAAGAGAGATTTATCTAATTCAGCGCTGCAGTCCTTATACAGGCAAAACCGTTATTGAAGCCACTGGGAATTTTGTCTATGAAATGAGTGTAGAATTGGATCCCTAATGAACAATCAATAGTTAGGAGGCATTTTGTTGTATTTCAGTTACCATCTTACAAGTAAAGAACATTAAATAATAATCAGGACCCATGTGGCAGTCTCTTCATTTATTCCTCTTTTGTCTCCTTAAAACTAGTTTCACGCTCCTGGATGGCAGGGGGTATGGTTTCAAGCTTACTGTAGTATTCAAATGGGCATGCATGAACTTCATTGCCAATTTCACATTGAAATAACTCTTAATCATGTACACTAGTATTCAGAAATAATTTCTATTCACCAGAACAATGACAGGAAAAGGTGGCTGAGCTGTGCCTTTTATATGCCATTTGGATTTAATTCCATAGCTCCGTCTTCTGCTTCTGGAAAACACTTCTTGCACAATGCATCAGAAAACTGAATTCTGCAAGAGAAAACAGAAAACTACACTAATTGTAGCTAAATTTGGGAACTGTTTGGTTCATGATTTCATGCATGCTGCAAAAGTGTGTGTACCTGGTAAAATGTCTCCTTACTAAACTGCATGCAGTGCATGAGTGAAATTCTGTAAGCAATTCATCACCAGTGGACTATGAAGTCACTACATTTGCTTCTTGTGTATGTCAGCAGAGTTTTAAATATAGTGCAATGTCTTTTTTCTGTAAAACAAGTTTTATAAGTGAATTTATTGCTGGTGAAAGATTATGGATTGACATCACAGGAGAGTGAAGTCCTCAATTAATCGACAGAACAGGTACAGCCCAAGCAGTGGCAGTGCAACACTGCCCCACCAACGTGCCTCACATCTGATCTAGAGGGATTTCTTTTGGGGCAAAGGGAGGCATATTTCATTCTCCATGTTTATTCAATCCCTGGCCTCTCTGCTGAAACTGTCAACAAGGGGCCAATTAGTGTCAGTTGTGGTGGTATTTTGTTTTTTTCTTTTGTTTTTTCCTCTCCCTGGTACAGACATCTGTCTACTAGGAAATGAATACAGAGCAGCTCACAGTTGGGAGTAATTTTCAGTCATTGCAAGCCAGACATTTGGGATTAACCCACTAATGTCCTTTAATGAAGTAACATTATTAACTCATTGTCAATAAGATATTTTAAACCTTGGAATAACTTTTTTGAATCCAAAGGATAAAAAGCAAGGTTTTAGTCTCGTGTGCTGTAATACTAATACTATAGAAAGGGAAAAACTAAATCTCTAGTTTCAGCGTGGTAGCTGTGTTAGTCTGTCAAACAAATAAAGCCATTTCTTAGAGAGGGGTAATTAATTTGATCTCTAAACTTCCTTACAGTTCTCCAGTCCCATTCCCCTCTTTAAAAAGATTACTCTGTACCAAGCACATTTTTTGGCTCCCAGACCAATTTTATAAGTTGAGTGTAGAGTAATGATCAGCTATATAGATTCAAATGCCTCTGTGCAGTATTGGAAAGAGCTACCTTTAATGGACATCCATTTCATGAAGCATTTGAGTTGTCATTGTTATTGAACAACTATCATTAATCTTATTAAAATAACACAAGACTCTGAAATATATATGGAATATGATAGGAAGTCCTATTTCTCCCAATAATTTGTTGAGAATGATAACTGTAACAATACTTCTTGAAAATTAGCGCACCAATATAAGAGGTTTTTCAGGAACATTCCATAATATTCACATGAGTCAAATCCTAAACCCCTTATTCAGTTGAAGTCAATAGGAGCTTTGTCTAAATAATATCTGAGTAAAAATGCAATAAAGATCTTGGGTTTTGGTCCATTGTTGGGTGCCTAAAAAAACAAAATGTAGACCAGATGTTAATGAATACTTCAATTCAAAGAACAGTTCTAAAATTCTTTTAGTAGTTTTACATATGGTTTATTGGATCAAATCCATCCCAGGTATATTTCTATTTGCTCTAGTAGAGTTGTATCATGGATGAATTTAACTCACTGTATATATTTAAAAATATTCATTAGAACCAGTTATGAATCTAATTTTATTTAGAATCTCTATACATTGGACCATTGCCATCTGAGACTGGAGCACTACCAAAGCGGATCAGATTATAACATTGGCTAAATGACCATAAGACAAATTACATAAGTAAAGCACAGTCTGTCGAGAATGCAGTAATAGTAAATTGGTCCTCTATGGAGTAGACTTCAATAAACAACATGAGAATGAGATTACTGATTGAAAACTGTTTGGTACCATTTTCTCTCTATTATAGTCCTGGTCACATGAATGAAAAAAGAGATTTAGAATCTATGTGCAAATAAAGACACAGCAGGCATTAAGTACCAGGGTATCACAATAGATGCATCATGCTAAGGGACCTAGATGTCATAGCTGATTAATTAAACCAAGGAAATGAAGAGAGACATAGGTTATAAAATACCTTAATGAGGTAGATAAATACTTGTTTTTAGTAAAATCATTTCAACTTTTTGCATTTAAAATTACTACCGTTTCTCCATCTCCACTGTAATTATTTTGCAGATGGATATCAAATAATTTTAAACCATATCTGCACTCAGTTAATTGACTGTTATCTAAAATACCTGAAATGATTTAATCAGCAGGATTTGAAGAAAGAGCAAATATTCAAATAATATTACTCAATTTACCAAAATATGCTCAGCTTTTATAATTTATTATTTTTACAGACATAAGCAACACAGGTGTCTTTAACCAGCAATAGCAAAATAACCTTAGTGACTTGGCTGAGTCACAAGGCTGAAGACTAAAAGACTAAAACTCTTGAGCACCCAGGCAGAACAGCCATTCCTGTACAAAATCAGTTCCTGTGCCCTTCTTTCACTTTTATATGTAAAGTAAGGACATTATATTTCCAATCTATAGTGTGACTGGTTCAGAATTTTTAGGGACATATGTACACAGCATCCATTGACATGGTTTATCCATTGACTTCATGTACAGTACTGTAGGCTGTGGACAAAGAGAATTATGTATGCACATTCAAGAGCAAATTTGTCCCTTATTGGCCAGTAAAAGTCCTCTTTTTATACAGACTTTTTTATTATAAACAAATTTTAGATTAACTATTTTAGGTACATATTTCTGTGGTTCATCAGTTAAACATCATGGACAACGTCTTTAGTTCTCTCCATTTGTCAAATATTAAGTATGCTTTCCAATTTTTAGGGCCTTTCAATCATATCAAGTCAAGTCTATTGGGATCCACATCGGATTCGAACCTCAACAAATATAGCACCATCAACAAAATTCCACAGCTCACTCTGAACTTTTCAGATATCAAAAATGACAAAAAGTCTTCATCGCCTCCTTCTTCGGAGAAAACAATTATTGCACCCAAGGTGAAAGATCGAACGCACAATGTAACAGAGAAGGTTACCCAGGTAGGATCTGGTTTACAATCCAATACTTTTTGTTCTCTGAATTCCTAGTCTATGTTTTAATTCTATTAAATTCATTTTTCACATTGTTTATTCTGAAACCTTGTTCATTGTGAATGATTTGGATGTTTCCAAAACATTTTAAATTATTGAGGTTTGTGCTTTCTAGTTCAATTATTATCCATGCCAGCTGTAAAAGGCGTGGTTTTGTTGATATTGCTAAGCTTCTCCTAAAATGCCCTATTATACTCCAAAGTGGTGTAAATAGTAAAAAACTTTTACTATTCAGTGATGATGGGACGTAGTCTGTTATTTATAGTGTTTGGGCATTTACTTTATTGCAGCCCAGTGTCCACAGTGACTCTACATCAGTGATTCCTGACAGTGCCTGCTCAATCAATATGTGACTTATTTTGTGTAGCTTCTCATTCTGTATTCCTTTTCCTCAACCAACTTTCTGAACTGCTGGCCACTGCAAAATACAATGTAGCAGTAAATGTTATGTGATTATGCTACTGCTATTGGTAGCATAATGATGCCCACTAATTTATGTTCCAGTTTCTTATTTTTTCATATTACCTTTCTTTGTGGGTCACTTTTTCACACACGCATACAAAAACAGCTGTCAAAATCAGATATGAAGGCCCTTGGACTTAATTTTTACAATTTTGACGAAAGCAGACATTGTCTCTGTTGTCCACTGCTTTTCAAAACATGGTTTCCATATGCATACATACAAATATATGCTGGCACCTTCTCTTTGTTAGCATCTGTGTATGCCTGTGATAACTTCTGCCAGCAGTGGGGATGTGATGTATAATTTAAGCCAAGTTGAGCATTCTGAAAATTTGGCCCATTTTGAAGGACATTTGTTTTAAACTGCTGAAATATGTACACAAAGCAAATCTGGCTGGTGTAAGATGAACCATACTCTAACAGCAATGTGTACAGTAGACTGAAAGTCTAGAAAATTGTAGCATAAACATTAATGGCTTTTATACCATAGCCTTTTGTATGTGGAGGAGCACAATCTCAGGAGTGGGACTGGAGAGCTTTTGCCTGGAGTGGACACCATCTCACCTGAACAGGATAAATATGATTGGTCCTTTGGTGTACATGCTCTTTCTGCGCAGAGTGGGGATTGGCCCATGATCTGGGGGAAGGAGTCGGAGATCAGGAACAAGCAGTCCCTGTGTTCCCTACAATCAGGAAGTACAGGAACTGTTACTGTGAGAGTTTCTTTTGTCCCTGACTCCTGTGCCTGAGCACAGGCGCTGGTCACAATTTGTCCCTAACAAACTGATCTGCACGCTGATAGTGTGGGTGGGTCTGGGTGTGTAAGTATAAAATACACAGTAAAGTAAAGGGGGGCGGGAGAGAGAGAGAGAGAGAATATATACACAAAATTCACACTTTGTGTATTTAGGAAAGTATAGTGCAAGAACAGGCTCTGATTAAGTATTGTCTGTTCTGTGAAAGTATCTGACGTATAAGATTGTGCTGTAAATGGTTGTTGTGGAGTTATCTGAACTTAATAATTTATTGAACACAGGAAGACACTGAAGAGTCCAAATACAGAGACTACAGAGGCTGGAAAGGTCTTCATCCATTATTCAATATGATCTATATCCAGTTTGTCACTATAGGATGCATTGCTCTCTTGCCAGACTGATGAACAGAGTAGAATATAGATAAATGGAATACGTTTTCATTTTTTAAGCCCTCAGAAGCAGTTAATGGGAACACCAGTGAATTTTCATTGCACACTTAGGAAATCAGCCTACTTTTAGTGGACAGTGCTAGTTAATGGCCACAAGAACATCAGCTGTTATACTGGTTACTGGCTGGATTGAAGGATAGAGCCCCAGGAGTTAAGAAACCAGTGATAGATGAAACTCTAGGAGCCCGAAAGGTCAATATGGATCAGCATGCAAAAGTCGGGGTGTTTATTTAAAGCTTACCAGAGCTGCTTCAATCTGTAAATATCACAAGACTTTGCTTTCTTGTGAGTTTCTCTGTGCTTGCTGCCATCAGATGGACAGGAAAACTGCTAGAACAGCCTTTCTTTTAGCATTTCAGTGACTCATAATTCCAGTCCCAGATAAAACAGCAAGTGCAATAGTGTGAGAACACACAAAAATCGAGTTGAGTTCAATTTTAGCTTAGGGTAGAAGTCCTGATTCATTCTTGTTTTATACCCTATCCACTTCAATTATCCAGAGTTCCAACCATTGAAAATTAACATTTTTTTCTTGGCCTCCTTTTTATATTCTAGGCCCACTGAGTTGCACTGATTTTTAGAGAAGTATTATCAAACATTTTTGTGGGGTCTGACCATAATAGGAGACACACAGACACAGCTGGCATGCACTACTTTGAAAATATACCACCAGAATACTTTTGAATTTTGTAGGGTATAATAAATTATTGTATTTGTTTGGAGAAACAATCAACCTCTTGCATGAAAAGACTGACAGTCATATCTCCAGTGACCCAATGAGGTTATTCTCCTGTATACAGGGTTACAGTCATAAGGAACATGAGTGGAGTATAAAACCAAGAAAAATTTGAAGTCTCACAAAACATAATGATCCATTAGATTTCAAGATTTAATGTTTATAGTCTACCAAAAGAGATCAGATTCAGCCTCTGCTGGTTCAAAGGTAGAAGTTGCACTGATCTTTGCCAGTGGGAGTTGCTGCACCTAAGAAGATTCTGCCCCAGTGAGCAGGGATGCTGTTACAACACCATTCTCTAGGGGAGTGGACAGTTCCATCAGAGGACGATAATTTAAATTCTCTCAGAGGCTCCATAGGAGGGCCACTAGTGGAGTCTAACGTGAGAATGGCTTGTGAATCCATATGCCCAGGCTGCCATAGTCACGTCATCTTTGAAGGCAGCACAGCCCTCTTTTGTGTCTGTAATGTATCTCTCAGTGTCTTTGGAGCTCTATGCTATTAGAGATAGTCCTGTCTCATACAGAATCTCTACCTGTTCTGCACAGGCATAAAATGGTCTTCTTAATTCTAACCTAGCCTGATATTTCATACAGCAGTGGCCCTTAAAATTTGCCAGTTGTCTTAGAAAGTTAAGTAGGATTTTTCAGTTTGATAACCCTCATGTTTGCAGCTTTCAAGGCATTTTCTGTAGTAAACACTGAGAAGGACAAATGAAATCTGCATATACTTAGACCCCCTGTTTATATACTGTGTCCTAGGTAAAACCAGGAGGATTTTAAAGAGCTATCATGCCACTACAACATATTGCACAATCTATGGCATAACTATCCATGAAGAAAAGTTTTCTTCAAATTCTACTGCACATTTGCCCTGACAGAATGCCATTCAATGTTATTTGAAGGCTTTCCAGTTTATCTGGATTCCAATCAAATTTCCAGTTAATCAGTAAGTATTAACACAATTTATAGGTCACACATCATTTCTTCACAAAACCACTCAGTCCAAGTGAAAACATGACCAGACACTTCATATCAGTTTACAGTAGAGGTAACAGCTGGTTTTAGCTTCAAAGAAAATTCTTTCCCTTCCTTTTAATATGTATTAAAAGTAACCACTTCATTGTGAGAAGTCCATTGCACCTGCTGTGAGATCAATGAAATAGGGCATACCTCATATATTCAGCAGGCATGTTTGACCTGAATATACTTGGTACGTTCAACAGCAGTCAAAGAGGCAACATGAAATAGAAATCAGTTGTGACTTTAGCCCAGTTAATCAATCTCAAGAACCTTTTAGAGATAATCCTAAGTAAGCCTCCCTCCTTCTGGTCCTCATGCAATGCCTGGCCAGAGCTGCAGTCCTTGCTTCCTTGTAAGTACAAGGAATGCTCTCTGCGTGCCAAGAAAGCTGGCTAGCTGGAAGGGTTCTCCCAGCACATTCGCTTAAGGGGTGCAGCAATGTCCATGCGCCTGATGCCTATTGATGGAGTGCCAGTGGCATTGAGCTCCCTACATGCACAATGTGTCATGGAGTTCCTGTTGAGACTGTGTAGCTCTGCACTTACTCCACTGCCTAATAGGCAAGATTAATGTCTAAGGGCCGGATTTTCGAAGGCATTTAGGTATCTAAGATGTAGATAGGTGCCTGGTGGGATTTTCAAATGCACCTAGACCTGCATCTTTAGGCACCCAAATACCTTTGAAAATCTGACCCTACTAGATTTAGGGAAATTATATAAGGCCTGGCCCAATGGCTATGGAAGGCAATGGAAGTCTTTCTATTGACATCAATAATAACAGCTACTATTATTATTTGTATTGCCCCAGTGCCTAGAGACCAGCCAGGCTAAGTCCACAATGTGCTACTTGGCCAATGGCAGATTGCTGAAGATGAGAAGAACTGTTTATAAACCTGCATGGAAGTATTAATGGCATAAGGAGGATCTAATGTATCTAATCTGCCTTCTACTTTCCATAGATCTGATTTATTCTTACTGCCTCTTTATACCGTTGCCATGCCAGATAGTTTCCATACTCCTCTGCCCCTTGACAGAAATATAAAATAACATATTGTCCATCCTACTGGAGAAATAGAGATACAAGTTGTATTAGTTCTATCTTAAAATCAGTTGGTGCCTAAAATGTAATTGGATTCTTATCTTTCCCATAGTTCCCTTTAGATAGTTAACTTGTGCCTTCAACCATTGCACTTTCTTCATTGGTCAGTCGTGAAGGATTTAATCTCTTCTGGATCCATTTTCATATATTTTAAATTATTAAAGTTAGTTTTACAGAGAAATCTTTTTACATCTAATATAGCAAAAAGTCAAGTTTCATTAAAAAGCCTAGGTTTTATAAGTTATGCAAGCATAAGTCAAGCTCAATTGTCTTTTTCTAAACTCTGATGGGCTAAATTAGTGCCAAAATGCACAATTCCTATCTGCTAATGAGTCTATGTTATGGGCAGATTTTTTTAAAATCTACATTTATTCCCCAAACAATTTAGATATTATGAAAGCTCCAACAGAAATGTCTCAGATCGGCT